TGGGTTGGGATCCAACTGCGGGGGTCGGTAGATAGTTAAGACTTCGAGGGCCTGGGACCCCCGCGCCTATATAGTCAGCCAAATTGCCTCTGCTTAGTCAGAAATCTTATCGATCCTCTCGTGCACTGCTACGTCGCTCCTGACAAACATGGCAACTCCTCCACCTCGGCGGCCTCTCGTGCCTCCCCTAAACAATTGATATCCTGTTAATGCTAACTCGCAATAACCTACGTTTCCTGACAGCAAAGTTTCTGTTATTGCTATAACATCCTGAGGCGTACCGGCCACCTGTAATCTCAGTTCGTCAAGCTAGGAAAACAGACTCTGAGCATTGGTGTAAAAAAATTAAAGTCATCAAAATTCGACAGTGATTCGCTCGATTAGTGTATTAGTGACCCTACTATATACCGTCAATTTTATGTGCCAATTGGGCTTTCGATGGACAAAAACACCCAGGGATAACATATAATAATAATTTTATATAATGCCAATTTACCGGCATTTTCAGGAAAGCGTTAGACACAAAAACGGCCAGCAGTGAAAAAAATCCAGTCGAAAAGGAAAAAATAAATTTGATGGTGGTTTTTATGGTTTGGAGGATTCAGGAGAAAAAAACTGCTGGCGGTATACATTCGACCGTCAGGAAGGGTGGCGGGGGGGGGGGGGGTTGCACGGTATCGGATGTTATCAGTCGCCAATTCCTTTCATGAAGTTGGGCCTAGTCCTAACAGAAGTGCCGAAGAACATCTGTCGTTGTTGGCCAAAGAAATTGTTTCTGGTAAGGCCGGCCATAGTGGTCAGAGATCACAAACGCTATCGCTACGGTAGAGTCGATCAGTGGATTCAACACACAAAATTTGTAGGAGCTTTTCTGAATGCAAAAATCGCGTAATAGTTCTATTAAACAAAGGATAACTTTTCAGAGTCTTCACATTCCTGGGTAGTTTATTACAAATGGCAATTGCATTTACAGAAAAGAACCGACGATATTTCGCAGTACGTGCCAGAGGAAAAAACGACAAGGCCTCACGGTGACTGTTACGTCGAGGTGAACAGGATGTCTTAAACTAGTGAGTAGGTTAAAGGTGTGAATATATAAAAGCTTGAACAGCAAAAATAGCCCTTTCGTAATCTCCGAAACCATTTTGGATCAAGGCCTGTAAGCCGGCAACGCTTGGTAAGACAAATGTCGGTGTTCCGGCGTTAAAACTCTGGGTAGAAAAATGCTGGACGGATTCTATCTTCTTCCGCTCAGCAGCACGCGTGAGGCTAAATAAAAACGAACAGTATTCCAGACCAGGTCGAACGTACATGTTATAATGGCGCATTCTAATTTCACTGGTTTTAAAGTTTCGGAGGTTAAACCCGGTCGTTCTACGTGCTTTAGAGACTATCAAGGCACAGTGCTCCGAAAGATTGAGGCTCCCAGATTATAATACACCCAGATCCTCAATAACCTCAGGCAAATTTTTGGCATGATCATCAATGCTTAGTTGTGATTGGCGGCCGTCGCCAACCACCACGACTGAGCATTTATGCCAAGAAGGAGAAAGGCGCCATGTGCGGCACCACTGGGCAAAAGTCTGTAGGTCGTTCTTTAGGAGTTCAAGCACGGTGTCACGATCTGCCTGCTTATATCGATAAGCAAATTTCAGATCATTGGAATACATGAAGGGCTTACCATTCTGAAATACATCGGGTACATCGTTAACAAAAAGGCAAAATAAAAGCGGGCCGAGTAAACCACCCTGAATGACTCCACTCCTCACACATGTGGCGTTGGAAATAGCGTTGGAAATATTGACTCGTTGTGTACGAGCGCTCAGGTAAGAGAATATCAAATTTAAAATTTCTCATCTATTCCAAAAGAGGACAGTTTCAGGAGAAGAAGAGCATGGTCAACTCGACCAAAAGTCGAAGTGAAATCGAAATAGACTCTGAAAAGTGCAAAATCATTGTCCCTAGATTGGAGAACATAGTCAAAGAAAGAGAGTTGACAGGTGTCACAAGACCGGGCTTTCAGAAATCCATACTGAGAAACACTCAGTATGTTATTCTCTGTTAAGTGACATATCATCTTATCTTTGACCAATGTCTCTAAGATCTTCGAAATTGCAGGGAGCGTGTTTATTGGCCGAAAGTCATCAAATGACGTAGATTGGCCATGCGTATGAATGGGCAAAATGTGTGATTCCTTCCACAAGGTAGGATAAGTTTCACTTTCAAGAGCGAGATGAAATATCTTGCATAAGAGGGATGGGGAAATCGTATTTGCATCGGCTTTTAAAGTGCTTTCATAGCCCAGGACACCATCAGGTCCTGGGCCATGAGATTGACGAAAACGCCGAATCGCAACAGTCACACCCCACAGAGTGAAAGTTATAGTTTCGAGAACTGCCCCGGTCAATAGCTGGATGGTCCGAAGTCGAGTGGTCGAGTCTTCAATAAACGTTCTGGACAGGAAAGCATTGAAGCTATCAGCGGTCAACTGGGCATCAATTATGGGATTTCCGAGAGCGTCTCGGAGGATGGGATGTTGCGTCTTTCTATGAGTTCGTATTTTTCCAAAGAAAAGTTTCGAGACAGTTAACGAATGATTTTCGCTAAATTGGATCTCCTCGGCTAGCTGTTTTTCTTCATAAAATCTCTTAGCCTGCTCAAAAATATCACAAATCAAGGGCAGGACAGAAACATCGTCCTGAAGATGGAATCGACGATAAAGTCTGCGCAATCTGCGACGAAAGGGTAAGGGCAGGAAAACCTCATCCCCAACATTAATAATTTTCTTACGGGAGACAAAACAAGAAATAAGCGGATTCAGAATTTCGTACAGATTTGCAGTGCAAACATTTACATCCGAACTAAGGAAGAAATCAGTCCAGTCGTAGGAATTAAGGTTTGTTAATAATTCGGTCGAGCGAGTTGATGGGAAGTCGCGGAAAAAGTCATACTTTGGGGACAACGTTTTGTCTGCCTCGAATTCCAACGTTGAAACAACTATGTCATGGTCTGAGCCCACGAGTGGGCCAAGAGATGACAAAGACGATGGCATGCATCCTCTACAGAAAATTAGGTCAAGTATGCTTGACCCTGGGGTGAGAAAGTCGACAACCTTGGTCCACATCCCAACACCCACAGCCTCAGGAAAGTCTTCGAACGTTCTGGGACCGGAAGGCGGAAACCAGCGGACTTTAGGAAGATTGAAGTCACCCGCAACCAAATGATATTTAAAGATTACGTCAGCAGCAGGAAATGCCATCGATCGTAAACGATTGAAAGACTCATTGGCGTTGGGAGGGCGATAGACGCAGCCAACGAGTAAGGAGAACTTATTTTTAGTGCAATCTGGAGCAAGCAGCTGCCATCTACCATGGAAAAATTCGCGAGGTCCAGCGGCAGTAGTGTAAGTGTTTGCTTAACGTAAATGCAACTCCCCCCACCACGGCTGTCTTGACGATCATTTGGAATGCAATTATAGCCTAGAATTGAGAGTTCAGATTCAGTTATGGAAGCTGATGCCCATGTCTCATTTACTAAAACAGCATCTGGACGATGGACTAACACCAGAGCCTGAAGCAAAGGCATCTTATTTAGCAAGAATCTGACGTTCAGAACAAAGAGTTCGATGGGAAAGACTGTTTGTTTCTGAGGGAGTTAGGCTACGTCGTCCAGCGCTTTGCAGCCCACGGAACACACGGTCCGGATGTACCCATCCGGTTCTGCAAAAAGTTTGTGGCATGAAAAGATTCTGACGTGGATAAATAGGGGTAGGACATGGGGAATGAAATGACGGGCAGCGAAGCTGGTAACGATTGTTAACTAACTCATTTTCAGCTAGAAATCCACGGGCCATATGCTGCAACGTATTCCCGCCGGAACGAAACTGAGGATCGGATGAGTTAACGGACCCAGTATGGGAATTAGCATGAGGAATGCATTGGTTAACCGGACGTGGGGGAATCATTTGGGGGGATGGAGGACGGACTGCTTTCATTGGAGCAAGAGTTCTATTAAGAGGCGGGAATGTCGGCATATTCGGCCTAACAGCCTCGATATGAATGCTGGAGGTAGTTCGGAACACGCTGCGTTTTGGACCCTGGTGTTTGAGGCAGCGTTAGGCGATTTTGGAGGAAAAGATTTCATAATGGAGCTGGATTTACTATGCGTCCGAGTGGCTGCGACGGCAATTGAATTCGTGTGACGATGTGAACCTTGAAACAATTGTGACGTAAGTTATGTCGTTCCCGCGAGCTAACAAACTACGGCTTACTAACCTCATAAACGGAGAGAGGTAAGGAAGGCCAGCAAGTGAATAAAGTTAATATTCAAAATGTGCAACGGCCTGACCAGAGAGCATGCAAACGGCGCGAAGCTTACAAGCGGCGGAGTCTTCGCCACGTTAAAACAAATGCTACAGTAAAACAAGCGTGACAAGATTGCCAAAGGTCAAGTCGTCAAGTACTTCAGCACAGTACCCCCCCTCCGAGACCGGAGGGCGGCGTGAACGACGCCGGAGGACATAGAAAGGTCTCGGATAAATGAGTAACTAGACGATCGGGAAAATGAACGTGACGTCCACCGCGGGTGATATATGCGGGAGGCACTGTTGGGGGCAGCTGAGTAGGTGTTGGAGTGGACAAGTTAAGGGTGAAGGAAGAGGTTGCAGTTTGATGCTGCGAACAAGAAGGAACAGGAAGTATACGGGACGGAGAGATAGGTGGGGAAAGTGGAAAAGGAGAGGGAGGAGGCATGGGGTCAGCACATGCTTGTCTTTGAGACACGTACGGGGGCTCCTCTGCAACAGCAACCTTGACCCGGTCGATGCTGACTGCGTCCTCTTTGTCACCTCGCAGGATCCGAAAGGCCTTGCTGTTACGTGCAAACACACGGAACTGTCCTTCGTATGGTGATTCTAACGGCTTCCGCACACGATCACACCGAACGAACACATGGGTGAAGTTGGCTAAGCCTTTTTCAACATAAGGCTCGGTCGATGGAGCTCAAGGTGGAACGGGGGAAAGCGAGCGCATGAATTGTCGCAGACGATGCACAAAATTTTCGGGGGTCTCTTCGGCACCACGAGAGGTTGGGGTGACCATTTCACCAGGCAGTCGAAGGGTAGTGCCGAAAACCAATTCGGCTGCGCTGCAGTCCAAGTCTGACTTCAGTGCCGCACGAATGCCAAGAAGTGCAACGGGGACATGATCTGACCAGTTTTCGGGATCTTCTGCGGCACGCAGTGTAGTTTTTAGCTGGCGGTGGAAACGCTCAACCATGCCGTTGGCAGCTGGGTGGTAGGCCGTCGTCCGAATACGTGTGCAGCCAAGGAAGTTGAGGAGAGTTTGGAAAGGTGTGGACTCAAACTGCGCGCATCGATCAGTCGTAATCATGGATGGTGCACCGAATATGGCGACCCAACGACTGACGAAGGCTTTCACAATGGTCTCAGCTTGCACATTTAGTAAAGGAATGGCTTCCAGCCAACGGGTATAGCGATCAACGCAGGTGAGAAGGTGAGTATAGCCATTGGATGGAGGTAAAGGACCTACGACATCTAAATGCACATGGTTGAACCGGGTATCGGGGCTGGGGAACGTGCCCCATGGAGACTTGTTGTGGCGTTGAACCTTGTTACGTTGACAGCAAAGGCACGATCGTGTCCAAGCTTTCACATCCTTGTTCAACCCAGGCCATACGAACCTTTCCGCGAGGAGCTTCTGTGAGGCTCGAATCCCAGGACGGGAGAGTCCGTCGAGAGTTTGAAAAACAGCTCGACGCATCGAGGCAGGCACATAAGGGCGATGAAAAGGAGTCGATACGTCACAAAGGATTGTGCCAGTGCCGGTGGTCAATGGGACGTTAACTAATTGAAGACTGTCAACAGACTCGTCGCCAGGGCATCCAACACGTCGTTGTTCAAACGCCATAGCACCAAGATCAATCCCGTGTGAGAGGTGAAATGCCGAGAGGGAAGGTCTGGACAGCATGTCGGCCACCGCATTCTTCGGGCCATCAATGTGGCGGATGTCGGTGGTGAAATGCGAGATGTAATCCAAATGAGAAATCTCTCTCGGGTTCTGTTTGTCAGAATGGGATCGGATGGCAAATGTAAGTGGTTTGTGGTCTGTGAAAATTGTGAAGTCACGACCCTCAACGAAGTGTCGGAAATGTTTTACGCCTAGGTAAATGGCAAGAGGTTCACGGCCAAACGTGCTATATCTCGTCTCGGCAGGTGAAAGTTTCTTTGAAAAGAATGCCAACGGTCGTGTCGAGACGTTGATATGCTGTTGGAGGACTGCTCCTACGGCAACGGTCGAAGCATCAACCATCAGGGACAATGGGGCTTCTGGAGCAGGATGAGTGAGCAAGGTAGCATCAGCAAGGGAGGTCTTTATTCTCTCAAAAGCAGTCAGCGTGTGACCACGTAACTCAAGGGGACCCTTGGGACCAGAGAGCAAGGTGGTGAGTGGCAGCATAAGGTCGGCACAGTTCGGTAGGAACCGGCGATAAAAGTTTACCATGCCAAGGAAACGTTGCAACTGACGCTTGAAGTTTGGTGGAGGAAAGTCACGAATGGCCTCAACCTTGGAAGAGAGGGGACGCAAACCTTGTGCATAGACATGGCGTCTAAGAAAATCAAGGGACGGCACACGGTTCATCTTAGAATCACAGAGATATTTGAGATGGCCTCAAGGATGCGCCAAGCGCGCGACAGGCAAAGAGAATCACTTGCCCTCAGTGACTCGAACCCTGGCAAATCCGTCGCTAGCATCTTCCGTCATCGGTCCTACTCTAAGCGTGGTCATGAACTTCCACCCATGCTAAATGATAACAAAGTCTTCCTCGCCGATGACACTGACAAGGCGGAGTTGTTTAGTGCTTTCTTTGCAAAACACCTTGCTACCGAGTCCGATCCGGTCCCTTTCTTTCGATCACTTTCAGATAGGACACTGAGTACAATTGATGTCTCCTCAGATCTCATTAAGAAACACATAAGCCGTTTGAAATACTCCCACTGCTCAGGAACGGACGGGATCCCGAATTCGATTATTAAACAAGCGTCCGACCTTCCCATATTGCTCAGTCATTTATTATCGGTTTATATTTCAAAAGGATTCTTTCCTGAAACATAGAAAACGTCAATTAGCATCCCCCTTTTCAAGTCAGGATCTCGGTCCGATGTTAATAACTATCGGGGCGTGCACAAAACGCCGTCTCTAGCAAAACTTCTTGAAAGGATTATTTTCAATGAAATTCTTGACTTCTGTCTTGCTAATCTGCTTCTGAGCTCTAGTCAGCATGGGTTTTTACCTGAACGATCCTGCGAAACATGTCACTTGGCTTTTCTTAATCTAATCACTTCTCTTCGTAATGAGCGGCAGTCAGTGGTTGTTATTTACTTTGATCTTAGCAAAGCCTTTGACAAGGTGCCCCATAGAACTCTTTTAGTAAAATTCGAAGCCCTTGGCATCCGGCCGCCTCTACTCAACTTTATTAGGTCCTATCTGTCCAACCGATATCAGAAATTCATGGTCGGTAATAGCTACTCGACACCTCACTCGATCACGAGTGGCGTACTTCAAGGCACGGTTCTGGATCCGCTACTCTTCCTTCTGTACATCAATGATATTTCGACTGAACTCGGAAATTCGCAAACTTTTACTTATGCCGATGACCTCAAGTGTGTTTACTCATACTCTAAGAACACCGCAAATGTTTGTGTTGAAAAAATTAATGTCGATTTACTACGCTTCAGCAGATGGAGTTCGACATGGCAGATGGAGTTTTCATCATCCAAGTGTAGTTTCATGTCTTTTGGTCCTACCGAACTTCCTGGTCCCATAATTTTTCAGAATAACCCACTCTCAGAATGCCTCACCATAAAGGACCTAGGTCTAAGTTATACAAATAAACCTGCTTTATCACCTCATGCAGATAGAATCTCTGCCAAAGCCGCGCAGATATGTGGATTCATATCGTATAATTTTTTCCTTCCGTAAATGAAGCTAAGACTTTATCAAATGTTTGTTCTTCCAGTCCTCGAATATAGCTGTCCTTTCTTCGGTTTAATGAGCGCCTGCGACCGTAATAAGATCGAAAATGTTCAGAGGGTTTTCACCCGGAAACTGTTCTCTCAAGCTTCGTCCAGTAGTTCTTATACTCAGAGATGTCAGCTGGCGAACATGAAGTTTTTGTGGGTTAGAAGACTCGAAGCTGGTCTTTGCTTCCTTTTTCGCATCAACTCTAGCTCCAGTCTTCCGCACATTGACACTCTCACTCCGAGAGATCGGTCTTATGCCACGCGCAACTCCTGCATGGTGATTCCGCCGCCTCTTTGTACTACATCTAAGCGCTCCCTCTTCTTTGCTTCCAAATATGCCTTCCTTTGGAATAATCTTCGCCTGAAATTAGATTATCGCCTAGGTTACTGATATTCAAGTCGAAATTACGCAACCATCTTACACCGGAAAGCATAAAGGCACTGTTAACGGTCTCATTCCCGAACACTCAGATTCTTGACTTCGAGAAGGGTCCTCCTGGGATTTAGTGGTAGATAAAGTGGTAACTCTTAATTATATCATTAGAAACCCCTGTTTTTAATTGGTTTCTAAATCCATCGCTATCCTTCCCCCCATAGCGACAATTTTCGCGGTTTTTGATGTCATCTCCCGCATTCCGACCTCATGCGGTCTGTCGACGCTCACGGCGGAACCCTCCGTATTCACTGTCTACTAGTAGTTCGGTCGTACCTCCCTTCCTCACTGCTCGGCTGAGCTCGAAGCGTGCTGTGGCCGATCGCATCTCGGTTCCTCTCGTCTGACCTCTTTGACGCGGCGTACCAATTCGGCCCAGACGATCTCAATTGTGAATCCCGTATACAATGCCATTTGCAAGCCAGTCCTGTCTGACCCACATTCGTACCCATCAAGGCGGACATTTATTGATACCCTGACGATGACCGAAAACATTCCGTTATATACCGTCACCTACAGGCCAGTCCTGCTCGCTTTATTCTGTTACTATTTTTAAAGAGGGGTTTTTTCTCCTGTAAAATTAATCCAATCATTTTTAACTTTTTCCGAGGAGTTTTTTTCACCCCTCAATCATCATGTTTCTCAATGGACTTCTAATTCAGAAACTATGAATTGCATTTTGTAAAGATTCAGCCCACCTCGTCTAAAAAAAAATTATCTATCTAATGACCACGCCAAACTGATCGAGGCGGTCAAACACTAAGGCAAGATGCTCTTTGTGTTCCTCGGCATTTCGACTGGCCACCAAGAGGTCATCGATGCAGGCGTACACAAACGGGAGACCACGTAGGACTCGATCAATGAACCTCTGAAATGTTTGGGCAGCATTGCGAAGACCAAAATTCATGCGAATAAATTCGAACAGGCCGAATGGTGTGGTGACGGCAGTTTTGGGAACATCCTCAGGAGCGACAGGAATCTGATGGAAGGCCCGAACAAGGTCAATCTTCGAGAAAACCGATTTGCCGAAGAGAGCTCCAGCAAAATCTTGAAGATGAGGGACGGGATAACGATCCGGGATGGTCGCATTGTTGAGGGCGCGATAGTCACCACAGGGCCGCCAGTCGCCTGATGTTGCCTTGGGCACCATGTGCAGTGGGGACGCCCATGGACTCTCGGACGGGCGAATTATGCCCAGTTGCAGCATGTGCTCAAATTCGGCCTACGCCGCTTGCAGACGGGACGGAGCCAGTAGTCTAGGCCGGGCGAATACTGGGGGGCCAGAGGTGCGAATGTGGTGGACAACGTCATGCTGGATCTCACCACTGCGAAACTGGGGTTTGATTATGTTGGGGTGTTGGAGGAGCAGGTCTCGGTATGGGCAGGCAATACCTGTGTCCAGAACAGATAAATTGCAGGAGTCAATAAAGGGTGTAAGACCGCGGACAGAAAGACCAGTTGTGCGGTCGAGGAGACAGGAACGCCGACAGTCAAATAGGTCTGCTTCCACTTGAAACTGTTATTTCTCCACAGTTTTGTTAATTATCTTGCTTTGTATAGGAGAATTATGGAGTAGGCAACATACTTTTATAAATTAATTATTATTATTATAATTCCCGTAAACATACTGCACTGAAAAAATTGCTCCCAACTGTTCTAATAAAATCATGTCAGTGTCATTCACTGCACTCTCTTCAGGCACGGTTTAACGCCCTAACAGACGTAAGGCGACCTCAAGTTTAATTGTTGCAAGTGTGCGAGTTTACCCGTCTCATCTGACATTCCGTCGACGTGCAGTAGATAGATTAATTTTGCTTCCATACTCAATATCCGCCTCAGTATCACCTTCCCGCTTGGACAAAGAGGCTGCCAACAGGATACGTGATATCTTGGTTAACAAGTTGATATGGTTTAGACGGCCGTCTATATTTCATTTTCGGAAAATCTAGCGCAGTCAGTCAAGCAAGCAAGCCCCTCGTTGTTACTTAATCTGCTTATTTTTTGCAGGACTCGGCCAGCCTTTCTATGCTTGCGTTAGGTAGGCGAAACAGGCCGAAAGTGTGAGCTATAAAAATGACATATCGAAGATGTATCGCAGCAGACACTTTCATCCCCCAATTGACTAAATGGGATACCAGAAACAACATTCTAATCAATTCAGTATGACTCAGTGACATTGGTATGCCCATCAATCAACGAATCCTCAAGATCACACAAGACAAGAGGTTGAATGACTAAACAAGTCTGTATAGTTTCTGTGACATAACGTCTTTGATGACCTTAGACGACAAGGAATATGCGGCCTTTATTAGGGTGAACACCTTTGGCGATTTGAAAGACAAATAAATTTGTGGTAAATTTAGGTTGCTTTTGGTGAACACCGTGTTAAAATTTGAGGACAATTTGGAAAGTTGTCTTCGTCGTTAAATGGACGATATATCGTTGGGTAGCGATGTCGCCCATCAAGTGGCGGAATACTTTGTAGCCTGTGGGTTGCCCTCTGAGCCCACCGCCTACGATCTTTCTGAGGTGTTGGTCAATGGGGAAGAGCTCGTGCTGTCAGAATCTGGCCGTTTAGATTTTACCGAATATTCGCCACCGATTGTCGATGTCCAGGTTTCTTCATCATAGCTTAATTAACAATTTTAGCTTATCAGTGCACTCGACCAAGATAATCCACCCTTTGGTTACGAAGTTGTTCGTCACAGTTACAACCGTGTCGCAAATGCCCTCATCAGAGCTCTGAACTCAGATGACCTGTACATATGTTATCGTCGTGGTTATGACAAACCGCCAATAGCGGATATTGGGTAATCGTCTGAACGTCTTATATTGCTCTACATTAATCTATTATCGTTTTTTGCAAGCTTACGCATCAGCCACCTAGATGGCACGTAGCATGTTATCTACATATATACATGCAATTTTTTATATTTATCTTTTTTTATTTTCAAACGGAATGTCAACTGGTATACCTGAATTATAGTGAAACACCTTGAACACAATTGAAGACTAATATTTAAGAACTCCACCCCGCAAAGTAGTTGAGGCCTCTCAAAGCGATTGCGTACAATAGATCGCATACACTAGCGTCCTCCAGAAGACGATGATGAGTGGCGGAAGGCGGACCAAATCGACATATTTAACAGAGATGTTAAATTTGCCCCGCAACAGGGAATACATGCTAGGGGCCACGTATTTACACGGAAAACATAATTATTCATAAGAAGGGGTGAACTACCGGCCGTATGCGGACGCAAATGAGTGTCGTACGTGTCGGGGTGCAAATTACGGGCACAGAATGGACATTCTAAAACGCCTCGTAATTTCTAGTTACCACTGTTAGAGATAAATTCCATTTGTTTTTCTTTTACGCCGGAATCTTTGATGACTGTGTGTACTGTAATTGCTGACGTTTACTGTAAGAAGAAAACTTGCTGGCACGCTTTTTGAGCTGCTAGTTGCGCTCTGAGGTTTGCCCAACAGAGAAGATTGCTTAGGTGAATGAATCTATCGTTTAACAGAATAAATATAACGTCGGTCGGATGACACATGCAGAATACACCGTCGGGTTCTGCGACAACAGCCAGAGGATATGATACTTTTAGTACGTCATCAACACGCTGGTAGCCACGCATTACTAAAAAAAATTACGAAGCCAGGAGTCACAACCATTAATATCCGTCGTTTGGTGCGACCATTTTCATCTCAGTCTGCCCACGTCTATCACGTTGGCAATAAGTCAAAATACTTTCCTGACGCCAACTCCGATCTCTCGACGAACCACATTGAAGAGCACTGGTTTAAAGTGAAATTGAAACTGTACTGTTTGGCGAGTTCAATCGGATAACCCAAGTTAACTTTTCTTGACAAGACACATTACCGCATGTGTTTTCACATGATGACCACCAAGCTTCAAACATCTCGATAACGTAATAATTTCCACGAGACACATAAGGATTTGGTATTCACATAATCAACTGTTCCAATTTTACTGTCATTTGCAATATCCATAATATGCCATTTCCTCCACTGCAATACTTGTCTGTTATTTACAATTTGTTGGTTTGTAAACTGTGTTTAAGGAGAGTTCCTACTGTAAACTTACACTTTTCAGCTTTTAAAGCGAGAAAAGTCCTGCCGGAAATTGTGTTTTGGTTCTTTACTTAATCATTGTTTGATGCTCACTTGCGAAATCACATTAAATACCAAATGTCTGCTTTAACGGATTAAGGATGCCCAATATTTACTAAATTTTAGTATTTTAAATGATTAGTTTGCTTCAGTTTTTTGCTTTTCTCGCATATCGGGTAGTCTATACAGTTGCTGAGAACTAGAGGTGTTTTTATTGTCCCAGTTAAAACCTATCCGTTAACCTAGAATTAAATGTTTTGGTGCATTTTTGTAAGATTTTGCACGGGTTCAAAACAAAAGTAAAGCACTTCAATGCTCAGCAGAAATTTAGAGGGACCTGGAAACAGGACGACTGGCATGACAGATAGCGGCAACGGCAGCCAAAATCACAGACAAAAGCTCTTGCACTTAAACGGTGGGGAGACGGAAAGACCAAGTATAAAGTCAAGGGGCATAAATGAACAAGGAGAACAGCGGCAAAGTGGATTCAAAGAGACAAGAGGGATAGAAAATGCGTAAGACTGACAAACTACGGCAAAAATGTGAACTGTTTATTTTTCTAAATGAAGCCAACCATTACCTGATGTACGCAAAGCAGCCATGTTATGTATTACCCTTTCTCGGACTCCCGCGAACCCATACCTAGGTACAGTGCCTTGACTCATACAGGGAATCGCTAAACTCCTGCGTAGTCTGCACGAGAGGACTCTAACAATCCCTTCATGTACCTTGTTAAATGGTTTGCTCCTAACCACGTCGAAAAGAGATAGTTAATAACTCACATTGTATATCGTGTGTGTTACATTATATGCTTATGCGTAGTCAGCCTGTTGTCCAGTCTGTTTTAACACAAACAGTTTGAGCCTTTTCATTTATTCCTTTAAATACAGTTGCTTTCTTGGCTCTGAACTTTTTTCGAAATTTCCATGTTAAGGATGAGGTTCGTAGACCACACCCGTGAGCGGCATTCAAGATACAACCAGACGAACATTGTATACTATTTATGTATGCTTTGTCAGGCGAGGTCTTCAGTTAAATGCCTTGACAACAGCTCACGAGCATTGTTTCTATGGTACTGAACTATCTAAACCCAGAATTTTCAAGCCAGTGCGAAATTCGACTGGCGTAAAAGTATCCTTACCTGGTGCTGTGATCAGACGTAGTTCTAAACTTATGCCTGCTTTACATATGACGAACTAGGATTTCTGCCCTCTACCGCGGGATATAATTGGCTGACTAATGTGAGTAAGGAAATAAGTTCATTCTGGGTAGAAGTATAGCCGCATGTCTGCCCGGCGTTTTTAGTGTCTTCGACAACCAGTAGGCAACTGTTCGAATTTATCACCAATGTATTGTTTAGTGTACATAAGTAAAGGCGGCGGTCGTTAGGGAGCACCTCAATGCACCGGCGACTTTTGTGAGGTGAAGTCCTCAAACGCGTACGCGCATGGTCCTATGATCCGGAAAACTCAACCCAGTGTGTTCTGTTTCCGTTTAAAATACATCAAGTTATCGGTGACGAGTCCCATGAAAAGTCTTGTTGCTGTCTAGAAGACACCCGCATTATATTTGTTGTCGAACTTTTTTACTCGGCAATTCAAATGTAGTAAATATGTTCACGGGATATATTAGTACTTTAAGGAACCCACGTTGATCGGGTCTTGTATGTCCTCGTTTTTCCAAGGAACAGCTCGAACGGTCGCGGATCACTTTATCCATGATTTTCCCTCTACAACAGTGACACTGATTGGGTGTTAGTTTGCGGCCTGGCATAGCGATGCTTTCTTTGACAACAAAGTAACTGTTGTTTGTCCCTATTCGATGGCAACGGTGTTTTTTTCTTCCAAAAATGACGTTAGACAGACAGGCGTAATTGAGACTGCGACAAGGGTTTTCAGGAGGAGGAGCAGGTGGAAGGAGTCCGGTCCGAGCACATTAGGTTTTAGACCTAAAAACGGTGTTAAGCCACCGTAAGTCCATCAACTCGATGAACCATCTCGCCAGCCGTACTGAGGTAAAAAAGAGACCGAACTGTCTAGAGATGGGTTGTCCGACCATTGGAAAAAAGATCTT